GAGCTCGGATTTGTCTTGTTTTATCGGTAATTGCTCTGTCTTTAAGACTACTTAAACCGCATTTTGATATCTGCTACCGTTCGTCAAAAAACAAAAAAAACGTGCAGTACTTTTGGGACAACCTATGTATAATTAAAGAATATGCATTATGCAAAACGATTATCCGGGTATCGGAACTTGGCTGTTTTGAAAACGCCTTCAAATGCGGCGTGATACCTCTTGTGCATTCCGGAGAGTTCAAATAGTTGTATCATTGTGCCTTAGAAATGCGAAGGAAGATTACAATTGAAATAGCCTTCATGCACGCTGGCCTTTTCGATTTCCATTAACATTTTTGCAGTCGTGAATGCATAGCTTAAGTGCGCTCAAGCTGGAACTGTATGTAGCAAATGGGTGGTTTTATACGAGGATTAAAAATAAACAAGTGGTACGGAATATAACTAAAGAGTATGAAGTATGCAAAACGATTATCCGGGTATCGGAACTTGGCTGTTTTGAAAACGCCTTCAAAAACGGCGTGATACCTTACGCATTCCGGAGAGTTCAAATAGTTGTATCATTGCGCCGTAAGAATGTGACGGAAGGTTAAAATGGAAATAGTCTCCATGCACGCTGGGCTTGTCGATTTCCTTTGACAATTTTGCAGTCGTGAATGCATACCTTAAGTGCGCTCCAGCTAGAATTGTATATAGCAAATGGGTGGTTTTTATACGAGGATTAAAAATAAATAAGTGGTACGGAATATAACTAAAGAATATGAAGTATGCAAAACGATAATCCGGGTATCGGAACTTGGCTGTTTTGAAAACGCCTTCAAACGCGACGTGATACCTCACGCATTCCGGAGAGTTCGAATAGTTGTATCATTGCGCCTTAGAAATGCGACGGAAGATCACAATTGAAATATCCTTCATACACGCTGGGCTTGTCGATTTCCATTACAATTTTTGCAGTCGTGGATGCATAGCGTAAGTGCGCTCCAGTTAGAATTGTACATAGCAAATGGGTGGTTTTTATACATAGAACAAGATGCAGTGAGGCGCAGAGGGAGCCATGACACGGTGTAAATGCATTATAAAGTGTGGACATTGTAACTTTACTCATGACATCTGCTGCGGTAAATAGCGAGAGTGGATAGGGTGGAAGTCCGTGCGAATGAAAATTTTGAAGCTCCTCATCTGATGTTTTAATAATAAGTATGCGCCGAAATAATAAGAGAGGGTTTATTGGAACAACATTGTTTTCAACTCAAATTAAATTCCTCATACTGCTGATTGGATTACAGCGCAGCGGTCGGCGCGCTTAAACTTAACGGACTCAAAAGTTTGACCTACTATATTTTTGACATAAGCTAGCAATGCCTGTCTCTTTGGCTTGGTGGCAGCTAATGATGTCATCAGCGAATATACTTTTACGTAGGCACATCAAGTTTATGTCCTCCGGAAAAGGCGCCTGTGGAGGACAGAAAAACTAATAACCAGAGAACGAAGGCCGACCGGCCGCACCCGGGCCATGAAAATGGGGGAGGAACGGAGGACCCTGCAGCTGCGCTTATACACCCCCCCCCCCCTCCACTGCCGTTCTTGAAAGTCAAGAACTCAAAATTGCACTCCTTTTATCATTTATACTTACACTTACTACGATTTAATGATTAGTTGCCTTGAAAACTCTCTTTTTGCAGGGAGAGTTACGAAAATTGCCTGACTTCAATAATTGCCTGAAACTTTGCAACGCTGTAACGGCATTTGTTATCATCCGATCTTAACCATCTTGGACTCGTTTTAATGGAAATTTTATGTATTTCAATTCAGAAAATAACTACTTTTGCCGTAATTTCCATAATATACGAGTTATCTCGGTTTTTTGGCCGAAAAACGCAAATTTCGGCCATTTTTTCAAGATGGCGGCTTTGGCTCGCCTCAGATCTGTTCGAAAATATGAAATTTGGATTCAGCGATGAAAAATACAGAGGAATTGTAATTCAGAAAGTTTCCTCAGAAATTGTCTCTACTTTACCCCCTATTGACTGGACTATTACTGTTGTAGCTTTCCACTCCATTTGTGGTTGTGAACTCTGTATTGGTAATGGGAGCGGCCCACAAGGCAGGGGGGAACTTTGATGTGGGATTAATGTAGTTTTTCTCAACATAGTCTAAAAATTTACTGGCATCTTCATGCTTTGGAGCTACTTCTTTCAACCCATTGAAGGCAGCTTGAACATCTTCAGGTTTGAGATAAGACAGTGAAAAAAACATTGTAGCCACTGCTTTGTCCGACATAAGTCGCTGTCGTCGTCTTTTTTATAGTTGTAAGTTTGTCGTTTGGGTCTGGTAAGCATAATTGTGTTTCCACCAATTCTGGCCAAGATGGAACTTACATGCTGTCACTATAATTCCTGGAAATGCAGATCTTGCAGCGTTGTGAGCAGCAGTCTCGAAGTCGAACATAGTAACATAGGGCCAGCTGTTGCAACATTGGGCCAAAGTAACAAGAGGATACAGGACTTCCAACAACAACAAGAAGTTGGCCAAACTTCCAAGGAAGAAGAAGAAACAGGCATTTGAAGTGATTTCCCCGGGTGGCCCAATGTTGTACTGGCTGGCCCAATGTTACACCGATGATTGACTGTAATTTCGGAAACTTGCTACGAGCTAAGTAGTGAAGGATCCTTGTTAAGGATTACCTCAAGGTCAAAACCTGTCTTTCGTATGACGGAAAACCCTGCAGGTAAACATCAGCCATAGGATCTGTGTCCCAAAATATCATCGGCTATAAGATTTCTTGTGGCTTCTATAATAGCCGGCTATACAATTTCTTATAGCGTTTATAGCCAATTGCGATGAAGCTAATAGCCAGACGATATATACTGCATGGCCTGGCGATAGGAACTACAGCCCGGCTGTATAATTTTTTATAGCTTCATAAAGTCCGGCTGTATAATTTTCTTCCCTTTCACAAGCCAACAATAAGAATTCCTATGGTATTTTGAAACGCAGCTCTTACAGCCGATCTTTACCAGTGGATGAAGTCAAAGCTATATGAAACTTCTAATGAGATGTATTAGGAGTTTTGGACAATAAAGTGGAGATGAGCGGGTACTCTGTGCAGGTGCAATACCATTTCAATGAGCCTGTTGCATGCAAGAGATACAGTCGTGCGAACAGACTTTATAGAGGTTAAATGACACGAAAATTACGATGGTCACATTAAAAAAGTCTGAAGTACACTCCTTACTTGCGTTGTTAGGAACGCGCTTTTTGAAATTTCCCGCGTCTGGGGGTAGTTTTCTAACGGAAACAATTAACGGCAACTCGCGGCTATTTCCGGTCAACTAAAACTGACAACATAACCTAAAAATCGGAGCTCGTGATATCGTGAAATGAAATGTAGAAGGATTGCGTTGGATATTTAAAAGTTGATCGATTTGGTTACCGCATAAAGCGTATATGGACCACTACAAGAGATCACGTTGGGTTTGTAAACAAACTGAAGGAAAAAAATAATAACAACAACAACAACAACGACTCGGCATCTTCCGGAAATCACCGAGCCCGCCGTTTGCTCGTTTCCGGTGATTAGAAAACTGCCCCCAGACGCGGGAAATTTGAAAAAGCGCGTTCCTAACAACGCAAATTGCGCAGTAAGGAGTGTATTTCAGACTCTTTTAATGTGACCATCGTAATTTTCGTGTCATTTAACCACTAAATAGCCTATTCGCGCGGCTGTATCTCTTGCATGCAACAGGCCCATTGCCATAACTCGATCAAGAAATAAAAACGTGAATCAATCAGGAACAACTCGATCGATATCGAGAAGGCCTGATTGATCCGCGTTTAGCAGAAATGAACCAAGCCGCATTAGCTTTTGCCAAAATTAATTGGACGATTTAATTTTTTTACAAAAGAACTGTGCTGACTTTTTTGAAAATGTTTAGGAAGTTGCTTCGTACTGTGCAGAAAATTCACTGAAATTTGCACAGAAATCCGCACAACCGTTTTGATATAAGAATTAAATGCCTAATGAAATTTGGCAATAGCTGATGGGGCTTGGTTTGTTTCTGCTTAACGCAGTTCAATTTACGTATAGGTATCTCTTTTGATTAATAACGGCCCCAATGGGCCAGTTGTGATGTTCACAAAATCGTGTTTTGATGCTTGATTCTCGTAGATTAGCTAAAAATAATATGATCTGTCCAAACCGCAACTTTCTACGTTCAATATTAACGGAGATATCGCCCTTTGCAAAGTCAGGTTTTTGACGTCATCCACCGCGGCAGTGACTGCATCCTTGGTTTCTTCCTCTTTTGTTCGATCAGTGATGCAGAAGGCGCAACGCGAAACTTTAACGACATTAAACGTAAACAAACCTAAGAAACAAACGAATTCGCACTTCGAGGATCTTCTTATTAGGAGGTAATAACGCACTCGACGCGAAGAGATTAGGCGGTTAGTCAGTTCACTACAGTTTATTCATGTTTAATATCTTTAAAGTTTCGCGTTGCGCCTTCTGCATCACTGATCGAACAAAAGAGGAAGAAACCAAGGATGTAGTCACTGCCGCGGTGGATGACGTCAAAAACCTGACTTTGCAAAGGGCGATATCTCGGTTAATATTGAACGTAGCAAGTTGCGGTTTGGACCATGTTTGGACAGATCATATTATTTTTAGCTACTCTACAAGAATCAAGCATCAAAACACGATTCTGTGACCATCGCAACTGGCCCATTCGTTGCTCCTAGATACGCTCTTACGCCATAGGAGCGACGAATTATCTTTTGCTTATCGTTAGTTCTATTCGAAAAATTGCGTCGAATGAGAAGTGACCTCAATGATGTGAAGTTGATGCGAGATACGCTATATTGGGGAGCCTTCAAGGTCAGAACAAGTCAGGAGCATCTGATAATTCCGGGCGTAACTGGTCAAACTTTTTTCCTGACATAACCTTTACCATTTGTTTTAGTGATTTTTACTCTACACATGAATCTATTTTTCTTTACCAGGGTCACGTAAGGGTTAAAAGGGGTACGTGCTCCACTCACTGGGCTTTAATGGGTTTCAGAATGACATTACATCCAGACCGACAAAATGACAGGAAATAGATATCATTATTTATTTATTGAGTAGATTCGATTTAATGTGTTAAAATTTTTAAATTTATTACGTCTAATTTCTAAAAGAGAACAGATAATATTTTTTAATTTTTGTCTGAACCTATGTACTATACGAAAACAATATTGTAAAAACGAATAGATACAATTCTTGAGACGGATCCAGCAGGTTGGCAACATTATTTTCACATTTCAACCTATGGAAATCAATCGATTTTCTGAGGGGCTTGATTATTAATATTGGAAGACACAGCTATGGACAAAGGTGAACTAGGGAACGTGGCTCGATTCTACTGGTTGAAACCAATGACGAGGCTTGAATGATCGATTATTATCGATATTTTTTCCATTTGAAGCTGTAGTATATAATCGATTATTAAGGTGCTCATTGCGAACACCCTGTTCGTCGATCCTTTTCCATGGGTCTAAATGGCAGATCAATCGATTTATCGCAAAGCACGCCACGCCACTGGTTGAAATGGTTGGTTGTCATAGACTTAGAGGAAACACGATTGACTAATGGTAGGGTTTCTCGTGGGTTGCCGTTATATAGTTTGTCTGTTACTTATCTCCTTTGTCCATTGCAAGCACCCGCTTCTCCCAATAGAATCGCTTCGATACCCTTTTGTCCTCTTTGTCTATTGTTCTGTCCGTCAATTTCAAAAATCGATTTAAAAAGAATCGATTATTCAGCGCAGGTTTGAATGGAGAGATGTGGAGAAAAGCCGGCCAAATTCACCTCTGAAAATTGTTTTACCACAGCTCAACTTTTTTCCTTAAAACTGTCGACATTAATAAGCAGTTATGAATCCCAAAGTTTAAGACTTCAAAATTGAAAGTTTAATTCCCTTTCTTTTTCCTAGTGCTCCCTTAATTTAAGTATCTTTCATCCCCCAACACCCCTAAACTTAATGTTGTGTTTCCTATCGTCATAAAATACGCAGAGCCTAATCCGACGGGTTGGGAACACTAGCTTTTCTGCATTAAAACCTATGTCGGACAATCGATTTGGTCGGAACACCTTGCAATCTAGCCCCTTCCAAGAGTCGATTTATATTCATAGGTTTAAAATGGAGAGAAAACAATGTTCCCAAATTGCTGGATCCACGTGCTGGTTCACGTGCACGTGTGTTTTTTATGAGCGGGAGGTTTGAATTGCAAGAAACATTATATATGTCAAGAAATATTAAATTTCCTACTAGGAGTCAATTTCAGTAAGTTTCGTCGCGCGAACCTTGTTCAATGTGAAATTTAGGTTGAGGGGCATGTATCAGAATGCCTAATTTCGCACCATGCCTATTGGTACATAGCAAACCTAAGTCCAATGTATAATATCAAGGAATGACTTAAAAAAGTGACCATTCGAATTCGTTTTTTGTTTTGTAACCAGTGTTCGAAACTCACAGGCGCCAACGCGCCAAATGCGCCTAAAAAATCGGTCATGGTGCCTAAAAAATGCCAACGCCTCTGCGCCAACGTGGCCCCTAAAAATTGCCCCTAGAGATCTGAATTTTCATATTAGGTGATTATTCGAAATTTTCAGCACCACAAGTGAAAGCTTTCTCTATTCTTCACGATTTCATCATTTGTGCTTTTGTGTTCCCCAAGTTACAGCTACCTACTTATTAGTCCTGTTACGAAAAACATCTTGCGTCTAACTTTTCACTAAATACGCCTCAATAAATAGGCAAAAAGTCAATTTGGTCCCTAAAAAATCTTCAATGGCGCCTAAAAATCGGGCTTGATGCGCCACATGGCCCCTAAAACTCACAGGTGAGTTTCGAACACTGTTTTTTTTTTTTTTTTTTTTTTTTTTTTTTTTTTTTTTTTTTTTCTTAAAGATTAAGAAAAATACAATATGATTTATACAATGGATAAATACCTGAATTTAAACATAATCTAATACGGACTCAATCTTGACAATAGATTATATTACCGATATGTACAACTGCTGATAAGCGAGGAGTCAATAGACATCTGATTAATTGATTAAGACAACTTATCAATGAAGAAAAATATATGAGACAATTGAAACTTTCAAGGAGTTCAAATATCTGCAGTGTTTTGGAAATTGGTGAAAATTTCCATAACAGGAAATCGAGCTATATTCGGCAAAACCTGTATGTAACAAGGTGGAGAAATGGTGCTGGGTCCACACCATTTCGTGGGGAAATCAAAGCCAAGAAGTTCCAAAAATTAAAATTAGAGTCAAAAATAACTTTTTGAGCTCTAATGCGCACCAGTACGAAACTGAGGAGGGAGAGTGTTCAGCTCAGGCAGTTTGCAATGGAATATTAAATTGGAGTCACGTCGAGAGATCTATACCGGTTTGGGCCTTTTTAGACCTCATCAGTAGGTCACACTCGGCAGTGACCACAGGCACCACCTTGCAGTCAGTCTCCACCTTGTTACGTACAGGTTTCGGGCCACTATTCAGTGTTTTTTTCTTCATTCGGCAAAACCTATGGATAAAATCCGAATACAATGCTATCTACAATTTTAATGAGGAATGGTTAACCTCCAATGACAGTATATAAAAATTATCTGATAAAGATCAGAAAAAAATCAACTGTGTATAAATTACGGTAAACTATTTCAATTTCCAAAATTTTGGGAAGGGTCAACTACGTAATGATTCTACTCTGTTTCTAGGGTGTTAAGTGATATTATCTGATGAGATAAGAAGCAACTGTTTAATTATGTATTAACCGTTAGTTGATATAACACATCGTTTAAGATGGGGTCAGCTTTGTTTTTAATTCTGCTATCTCCCCTCTCAGAGAGATTAATTCTTTTTTAAGATTAGAGACTTTCTCTTGATATTTTAACTCTGATTTTTAGTAATTTCATTTCTTAATTTTCTCATCTCGTTATTAGTTATTTTATTTTTATTTGAGAAATTCTCGTCTTTTTGGGCTTTATTCCTATCTGCTGAATTTATCTTTTCTTCTAGTATTATCTTTTACATTCTTCGCCAACTTTTTTATACTGATTTAATCTTTGTTTCCTTAATTTCTTGTAAAATTTACAACCTTTCCAAGTTGTAAAATGTTGTTCCTTACAGTGCAAGCACACAGGCTTCCATTGTACTTCTTCCTGTTTGGATTTTTCCAGGATTGGACATTCGGTACTAAAATGATGGTCATTATAGATTAAACATACTATTTTACGATAACAAAAGTTTTTTGTATGTCCGTATTGGAGACATTTTAAGCAGATAAAATTATCAATATTTTTGATCCCTATTCTTTCTATCTTAATTTCATAATCGTTAATTGTCTTGATTTCGTCTAATTTTATCCAAGAGTTGTTATTACTTTTAATTTCTATCTTGAAAAGAGGGATCGGAGCTTTAGTGAATCTATGTTTTAGTTGATGAATATTTTTGACTTTTATTGGTTCATGTTTTTCTAGTTCTTGTTTGAGAATTTCCCTATCGAAATTGATTGGTAATCCTCTGATAATCCGTCTTGTTATTTTTCCACTAAAGCTTTGAAAAGTAAAGAATTCGATTCCTAGGTAATTTAATTTCTGAGTTAAGGTCTTGTGATCTGGTATTGATTTTAGAATAATTTTTATCTGTTTTTTGGAGATAATTTTTAAAGAGAGATCGAATTCGTAGTCTTTAAGTATTTTTTTAATTTCTTCTGGGTCTTCATGCATTATACCTAAATATCGGAGGGGGTTTTTTGTCTGGTATTTTATTTTTTGAATCTGGGTTATTATTTTGTTTTTCGGGATTATTACTTTCTTTTACTGAATTTATTATTTCTGTTTCAATTCCCGTTTTTTCTAGTTTTGTATCTACTGATAGTACTTTGAAATCCCTTTTCGTATTTTCTGAGTTTGTTTTATGGGACGATTTAGTTTGTAGGTTATCTTTATTGGTTATATTTGGATTATTATTAATTAATTTAGAGTCTAGTTTTTGTTTCTTAAGAATTGGTTTTTTATTATTGGGGTTTAGGTAAAAAATTTCGTACAAACTAAAGGAAATGTAATCAGCTTTTGTCAAAATTTTAGCAGGTGCAAATTCTTTTTCTTTCCCAAGTATAAGAATTAGTTGTCTGCAGTGGAAACAGTCTGATATAGGAACTCTATGTAGGCATTTAGATTTGCTCTTTAAGTCATCTATTGAATTAGGTAAACACGATTCGTTGCATGAGGCTATGAGTCTATTATGTTGGCACTTCAGATTTCCTTCGAATTTGAATAGATTGTTTTTTCCCCTAGTTTTAGCTTTAAGGGTTTCCTTTTGCTCAGGTTGAGCATCTGATTGAGCGTCTGGTTGAGAATTTGGTTGAGTGTCTGAGCTGGTGCTAGGAGGGATGGAATCATTACTAGATGTCCCCTCATCCGTTGGAGAGTTGGACTACATTTTGCAATTTGGAACTATAAATCTTAGCCTGGTTTTAAAAAACCGTATGTGTCATTAGTTTCCCTATGCACGTAAGTGTTCTTTCAGAAGAGCCAGAATTTATAGTTCCAAATTGCAAAATGCAGTCCAGTTATCCGTCTGGTTGATTTGCGGAGTTGAAGATGATGTAGAGGAAGATGGGGAAGCTTGATGTGATGACGGTTTTTTTCGACTTGTTTTGTCCTTAGTTTGGGGAAATTTCGGGAATTGAAGAAATCTTGGGTATTCTTGAAGAATGAGGCTATGAAGTTTAGGATTATATTTTTTTAAAACTTCAAGGGATCCGGGATCCGCATCACATTGCCAAACCACGTGAGGAATTTTATCCTCATCAATGGAGACCAGGGACGGATTTATGTTTTTGGCGCCCTGTGTAGAAATTTTCGAGGCGCCCCCCTCGCACGTCCCCTCCCCCCGCCCGCGCATTCCCCAACCCGACGGTCTTCTTTGGTTACCACGTGCTAACTCTAACTAAATACGAATTTTTCGAGTGAGTGAATGATTCTGGGGCAGAAACCAAAACCAGGTACCTGTTAACTACTGAACCCACCTGTTACTACCTGTTAATTACTGTTAACTACGAAACTAAGAGAAAGTTTGACCCTTAAAGTCCAGGGTCAGGTCATTTAAAAGATGGAACGCAATGCAATCAATCAACAATCAGAGTTTCTGAACTTTCGACGCAATTCTCAATTTTTTGCAGAGTTTAGAAAAAAAAACCGCAAAATCTGGCGCCCCTCAAAATCTGACGCCCTGTGCAGCTGCACCGATGCACCATAGGTAAATCCGACCCTGACGGAGACAATGTATTTATAGCATATTTCACAAAGAAAACCTATGCTTTGGTGTTGGCAAGGTATTTGTACATCTTCATATTTACTACAAGATTCACAGTTTTCAATTTTCCGCTCATGTCCACAAATATAGGCGGTGGTAAAGCCGAAAGAATAGGTCTCTGCACTGTCCGCGTTTGGCATTATGGTTTAAGTTTGTTTACATAGTTAGGCATAGCTAGTGGTTAGATAGGCATTTAAGATTGATAAAAAGGCAAGTTCATGTTCTAGAAGTGGTAAAAAGGCAACACGGTGAGACATAGGAACAGTAAATAGATGAGCGTGCTCATTCGAACTACGTCTTATCAGTTGACAAATGGCTGCCGCGGTGTTGCCGCATTTACGTTAAGAGTCACTGATAAAGACTGATAAGTGGTCAAAATTCACAAAAACGTTCCTTAATCAAAATATTAACTTTTGATATCGTTCACGGATCTCGCGATATCTTGTCCGTAACACTGTTTTCTGCAAGAGTCTAAGTGAAGAACGATTTACCAATGGAAGATCTTCCGATTGATATAAAAATCACTGCTGAAAACCACTTATAACTTGACGAAAAGGATAAATCTCCGAGGGGCAGGCAACGTTTGGACTTCACACGTCTACGGTTCAAAAGCAAGTCCCTTCGAACACTGTTTGTAACCCATATAATTTTTATGTGCATGACTCTACTCTGTAATTTTCCTCCTCAAAAATTCGAGTCTTAAAATAACATTCTGTTCTGCTTTCTATATTCTGTTCTATTTTATTCTAACCTATTGCATTATAATCTTCATGTGTACTCTATCTTAATTTATTCCATCATATTATCAGCTTTGCTATTCTATCCTATTTTACCCTATCATATCAATGGCTAAAGTGCCAAACCACGTATCTCCATTGCAATGCTTCAAAATTCTCGATCCTATTTTATTTTTCCGAAGAAAAGCAAGTCGATACTATGCAGTTTGGAATGCACACAGAACATTCTGCTAACAGAGAAAAAAATTAAAGGAGTTTTCAAGAAATGATGTCAATGAGTCCTCTAAAGAAAAAATAAAAAATGACAAGAAGTCTGCAACGTCGCAAACGGAGACACGTGGTTACACACTTCGGCTATCGATATTTTTCCGCTTTTTTTATCAGCGGAGGCATGGGGGGACTAGTACCTCTCTGCAATCGGTCAGATTCCACACGCAGAGCTCCTGATACATTCAGAGAGACTTTTTCTGTGAGAACCAGTGCTTCCATTCCATGTCCATCAAAAGTTCCGGGATTCGGAACTTTTTTGTTCCAATTTCTCCCACTCCATGTCCATGACCGTCAAAAGTCCCGGGATTCTTTTTGGATTCTCTCAAAAGTCCCAAGAAAATTTTGGGAAATGCAAAAGATCCGGACACTTTGGGAATTTCAAAAGTTCCGAGAAAAATTCAGGAAAATCTCA